ACTCGTTTTCTTTCTTTATATTTTCTGTGATTTTCTAAGATATTTTTTCATTCGGTTTTCCTCTTCCATCACCGCGAACCACTCGTTCTTTGCTAGCTAAAAATTTTGATATGAATATTTTTCTGTGTGGTAATTCCCGTGTGGCACATGAATGTTATTTTGATTCATTGTTTAGTTTTCATTTTGTAAGATTTTCTTGGATTCCCATAATCGTGTTTGGTAGTAGGCTTTTTTTATTCCAGTGCTAAAGAAAAATTTTCTTATGCAATAACGTAAGCAATACATTTGTTATTTTGTCGTTTATAAAAATTTACTTATGCAATAATGTAAGCAATATAGATTCGTTATTTGTCGTTATTCGTTTGTTTTATAACGTTATAAGTTTTGAATTAAAATGCCATTGTATCACATTAGTTATTTCTACTGTCAATTAAGTGTCTAATTCAAAGACCTAATAAAGGAGTATCCTATCTTAGAAATCAGTCATACTGATTTTGTTGATTTATTTCTTTATTTAAGGCATAATTTTTTAATTTGTCAGTCCTCATGGCTTCATTTTTACAGTCCTTTTTGCTTAGCACACCCTCTTTTGCTGTAATGATATATTAGACGTAATCTGCATTCGTTCTATAGTTAGTGACTGAATACATATTGAAACGTTTAGGTATTTATAATGCATGCATTACATCTAATTGTCAATTAAAACTCGTCACTCAGTTTGTGAACAGACTGGTAATAAATAAATATTTCCCAGAGAAATTACAGTGTGGAATCTGATAAAATGTGCACACATACCTGCCGCGGCAAGCAAAGTGACGTGCATTAAAATACCATCCAATTCGTGCTTTCTAGATATCACCCTGTGGTTCTGTTTTCAGAAATTTAAACTGATAGTTTTCATTAACTTTCATTTTGTATGTCCTCATTGAATAAACGGAATGTTACCAACGTACGGCAACGTATGTGAAAGAGCAAGTGATATGAATGTTATGTATGATTGTTAAGTTTGTATATTCAAGCGAATCGTTGACTGCGCTGAAAAATATTTAGGCTATCAAATTTTCCAAAGCATGTTATTTCTTCCCAAAGACCCCCTGCTATCCCTTGGACTACAACATGGAGGTAGGAAAGTTACTTTTTACCTCCGTGGACTACAACATAACCAGTTACTTCTTACCTCCGTGGACTACAACATAACCGTAGATCTCCCCAATGCCTACCAGTAGTCGGTAGCATCTACGCCTGATTTAGGGCAAAGGAGGCGTAGATGCTACCTTGTTTAAGGCAAAGCACATGAGGTCCAATTGTCTAGGGTAAAGGTTGTCTTCATGGAAGACCGTTTTTAATCTTTTGAGTGGTAATTAACGAGCTTAACTCTAATTATAAATTTATGACTGACGGATATCGCGCCAATTGGAGAAGAAAGAATTGATTAATCTCGCAACCGCCGTAGGTCTAAGGGAAGATAGCTTCCCACCCTTTATTAACATTACATGGAAAATACTTCGGAAATACCCATATCAGAAATACTGCTCAGTGAGATTCGAAGCCAGATCTCAGTGAATAGATTTATCTTAGAACTACAGTTTTATGTACCGGCCAATTAGGTAGCCTTTCATCGAAAATTTATAATTGAGCTTTATAATAGAATTTAATTTAGTAGTTTAATGATTAGGTGTTAAACGTTTTCGCTGCGAATGAATTATAATCTAAATTATTTGCTGTGCTGAAAGCTTTAACATTTCTTTTTCTTCAAAACGAATTATAACCGTTTACTTCTTAACTGAATCATATTTACTGTTTACAAAATGCCATGTTTCTTGCAGATTCTGTACAAAATCTTATAAATAAAGACCTTTTTGTTTAATAAATATGCATTTTAAAGGTCTTTAACGTATCAGTAAGTTCGCGAGTTTTCTATTTTTCGTGTATTATTTCTAAGGTGAAATCTAATTCATTATTAACTGTAGCATGTTGAACTTTCCTGTGCTTCTTTTGCTTAATGGGTGCACATTTTAAAAGTGTTTAGGTACATTAAATCTACAATTTTTTTAATATTCTCTTGAGCTGTTTGCAAGGTTAAACCTAATTAACTGTTAACTATAATATCTTTAAGTTTCCTGTGCTACGGACGAATTCTCGCCCTTGCATTATAAATTCCAAGAATACACACAGGATATAAATCTTAACTAAAAGTTTATCAACATACATTTCTAGATGCAATTAAAATTTATCAAAACGTAACCACTGCTGCTTGCTGGGTCTTAGAAAAAGTGTTCAAATATGTGCAACACAACAAATAGGTACCTATGGCTTAATTAACCTTAAAAAACAGTCATGATTTCTAGGTTTTAACGGTGGTAAAGACACAAATCATTTACCAAAACTAGACCGATGAACAGGTGGCTAGTTAGTGGAAATAAACTGCTGGCCATTGTATGCGAAAGCTCTCTTCCTAAATTAAATAATCGTTCGCTATTTAAGCTCAACCTAATTTACATTGCATTGAAGGTTGAGTGAAGAATTAGAAATAACGTGAAAATAGGGTGTTAGCTAAAATACCTCTTTTCATAATTTATTCTATAGTTGAATGTCGTGCATACTTTGTTTTACTCAAGAACTATTTCATAAAAATCGTATTAAATTTTTTGAAGATATTGTAGCGACTATTGTGAAAACCGTGTAATACTGGTAGTTTCATTTTGGATTCGTTTCTTCCTGAAACATCTAGCGTTTTTTCTTGATGTGAAATATAAATGCGGTCCTTTATTTCTTGAGAGGATGCCTATAAAATTTGTTTTTGGTAAATAATAAATTTTGGTTTCGGTATTTTCATCTGTAATGAACTAATAAACAAAAGATAAAAATTTCCCCTTATGCTTTCAAAATATCTCTTTTCTTCGATGCGTATTAAAGAAAAGGATCAATTTAATTAATTTCTGAGCTTTTGCCTTTATCATATCAATGCATTGTTTACGATAATTAACCATTTTGAATTGTTTGATGTACTAAGAGATGCGAAGAAGCCATTCAACTACAAAAATACGAAATGAAGAAAAAAAGAAAAATGTACTGATGTACTATTTAAGTTTGATGTGGTAAAAGCAAATAGTAGAAGCTATTGTTTATCAGTAAACGAGAACGATCGTTTTAGAGGATATAGATAGCGAAAATGATGTAAAAAAAGCACTTTGGTCTCCAATCATTGAATAGAATAATGAAAATTTTTTTATAATTCTTTGTCATCGATGCAAAAATGAATAATATGAATACAGTAGCAAACATTTCGTTTCATGCAAGTTACCATTGTTCCTCCTGTTTCGAAAAATGCTTGAATGCATCGCAAAGAGCATTTATAATATGCAATGAGCTAAATATCTTTTTTACCTAATATGTTATAGCGTTTTGTTGAAGTCACTTGGTAAACAAAACAAAAAGTTGCCTTTTTCTGCATTTATTTAAGAGTGAAAAATGATGCTTTTAGCGTTCATTGTGTGATATTACTTTGCATTATTTAAAAGAGTAAAATTTAAAGTTTTATTTTTATTTTACATGATTTCCGAATGGATGGAATAAAATTTAATGCTGCATCTTTTAATAACATGACAAGTTTCAGTTTTTATTTTATTTTATTGAACCAAACTGCTTTGCATTCACTTAACATAAGCATTTATTAAATGAATTCATGGATTTTATTCCTTTAATGTATTTATTTAGTCTGAGATTGGCATGCAGAGTTAAAATTTTATTGGTTGAAATCTTAGGAATCTGAAGATATAAATTCTATACTTTTATTGATAAAGTAGGCATCAAAATATGCAGCTACAGGTTTCCTGCATTTGTTTGTTTATTAGATAGTTTATAGATTTAGCAAATCTTTGAAATACGGACTCAACCATATTTTACCTTGCAAATGCATTTTGACTTTCGAAAAGCATAACACACGTCGTTTCACTTACGAATGCTGAAAAAAAAATTGAATAATAAACTGTGCATATGTTAAAGCATAGTAAATGCACAGCTTACCTTTAAATTCATGTATATGACGAAATTGATCAAAAGAAGAAATTAAGTTTTAAATCATTATGCCTCTGGGTGTAACTGAAATGAATTAGGATGAAATCTATACTTGCAAAATTGGGAGCATGTGTAATTTAATGTGTCTCGAAATGTAATCATAGAAAGACTCACATATTGAATTGCAGGAGGATGGACCAGCGCTTCGATCTAACAGAAAAAAAAAATGCTGTATGGTCTGCCCAGAGGCAGCTCATTTCTCGTGCTATAAACTCAGAACTAATGTAGATAAAATCCTGACAAACCTCAATTACGAGCATTTTCTTCTCAAAGGTTTCGCCTATTGGTGGCCGAGCGGATTAGATCAACACTGGTGTTCAGCATTGTTCAAATCTTCGGGGAATGAGTTGGTTACATGGACATTTTCTTGCATTTCCCCTTGAGAAAGTGAATACGAACCATTAATCTTCGAAGGTCATTTAGGAAGTCACCCCTCCTCGAGGCAGATTGCACTCGCGTGCTTTGCCTTATCAATTAACCAATCTTGTCGAAGGAGGGTTTTTTTTTTTTTTGTGAAACATTCACTTTATATGAAGTATACACCTATCAGAAGTTTCGTAACTGGATGTCATATTGATCAATGTTTACTAAATTGACTATAGGGGAACAAACAAAGAAAAGCAAATTGTAGAAGTTATATTACTTATTTGGGCACGGTGTTTATTATGAGGTCTCCAGAATGCAGTTACATCTAAATGTAATATAATATCATTACTGAATTTGTATCGAAGTGAGTAGTATGAAACGACAGTTCATTTAATTCCATTGTTTTATCAATGTTTTATTTCCATTTTCTAGAAACTGAACACAGCTGTCGCTGTTTATATTGTAACTTTATGACATACATTGAAATTTATTTTAAGTTAATGTTGTGTATTTATTAAGTTAATGTTGTGTATTCATACATTATTTTCTTTTCATAGATAACAGCAGCCAGTTGTCTCAACCGGATACGGAACTCATTGACATATTTGAACCACCCTCAGAGCCTCTCTTCACACCAACATTTATTCTGATGACGTGTTCCTTGAGCCTGGCCGCTGTTGTCATACTCTTGGCCATTGTCCTTGGACTGAGGCGAATCCGACAGAAGTCCGGGATACAGTCGCCTACTCCAGGATATATTTCTCCTAATGATCGACCCCCACATTTGGGCAGTGGGGAAGATCCTGATGTCGAGATAGATCTCGATAAACTGCCGTCAAATGTCTCCTATCACCGCACTCAAGCTAAGCTTCATCCGAAGTTAGAAAGTTTAGAGTATCCTCGTAATGATATCATTTATATTAGAGATATCGGCCAAGGTGCTTTTGGCAGAGTTTTTCAGGCTAAAGCTCCTGGACTGGTAAAAGGAGAGGATTTTACAATGATTGCTGTAAAAATGCTGAAAGATGAAGCATCGGATGATCTTCAAAGTGACTTTGAGCGTGAGGCATGTCTCATGGCCGAGTTCGACCATCCCAATATCGTCAAACTACTTGGTGTATGCGCCATTGGAAAACCCATGTGTCTCCTTTTCGAGTTCATGGGAAAAGGCGATCTCAACGAGTTTCTGAGGTCTTGTTCGCCTACTAATTACATTGTGACGACCGGCAATGGCAACCTGTTTAGTGATGTACGTCTGACTCATGTCGACTTGACGGCCATCGCCAAGCAGGTAGCAGCCGGCATGGTCTATTTATCCGAGCGGAAATTCGTGCATCGTGATCTCGCTACTCGGAACTGCCTAGTCGCTGATGACATGGTGGTTAAAATATCAGATTTCGGTCTCTCACAGAAGATATATGCAGCCAACTACTACAAAGGCAATGAACATGACGCCATTCCTATCCGATGGATGCCACTAGAGTCAATTTGCTATAATAAATTTACGGTAGAGTCAGACGTTTGGGCATTTGGCGTTGTACTTTGGGAGATCTTCAGTTTCGCCCTTCAGCCTTACTATGGGATGACTCATGAAGAAGTTGTTAAATATGTCCAAGAGGGTAATATCTTAAAACGCCCGGACGACTGTCCAGTTGAAGTGTACAAGCTTATGGAGGACTGCTGGAACAGGAAGCCTACGTCCAGGCCTTCTTTTAAGACTATCTACAAAACTTTAGGCCAAATTTACAATAATCTCTTGAAAAAGCAGTCCAAAGACCAAAGAACTCACGTCTGACCTACCAAATGCGGCTATACCGTTCGGACCAAAGAGACTGCAGAGGAATATAGTTTATTGCGAGAGAATTTTAATTTCTAACTCAATTGCTTTATGAGTTTTTAAGATGTTTTTAGTAGAATGCTTTATTATTTGTTTTAAATTATATTCTGTTTGTCGAAATTTATTCTGAGCGATGGCTTAAAAATGGTGATATAATGTTTTTCTTAAATCCTAGTCTAAATGATGTCAAGTTAATGTATTTACTTACCTTTGCTGATGTATGCCGACTTATGTAAATGCTGTTTCTTTTTTTCTGTGTTTCTTAAAAGTTTAACTTTGTTACACCCGCTCAGCTTCAAAGTGCCGTTCTTTCTCAAAATCAGTTTAAAGTCACTGAGTATGTAAATAATTATATTCTGCTTTTCAGGCTGCTAATTAAATGTAAGTATACTGGGCATTAAATTAAATGTTTACTATGGTTAAATTTGTAATTTACGCTTTGACAATCATTTTATAATTTAGTTTCCTGTAACCTATATATGTATTTTGTTAAAAAAAAATTTGAAGAGGAATTATTTTCAAATGAAAATTTTAAAAATATCATTCAGTTTTTCTGCAGTAATTTCATCCTTCTCAGTTCATTGAACTCCATCTCAATTCATTGAACTCAGATTAATGATTTTTCAGGATTAACTGCATTTAGTAATTCCCATTTGTTAATTACATCTGTTTCGGAAAAAGCAGGATTGATTTTTAAATGTGTTTAGCTGTACATATTTCGTATGAAATGTAAGTATTCTAAAAAATTTAATAGTCATATAAACCATTAATAATGTATACTCGAGAAGTCAAATGGAAGTAATATATGCCAATTTCTTTGTTTTTAATTTTCACTTAAATTATTAATTATTTTGCATATTTTTAAAATTTTCATTTGCGTTATTAATTTACTGTCATTATCAGCCATAGTTTGACCGAATTTTGCATTGGCAGCCTGAAGACACTTCATGTATGGATTTGTACATATAATTGATAGTAAATATGTTTTAAGAGTTTATATTTTAATGTAATGTGTTTTATGTAAATTTTTATTTCATGAAGGACATTGAATGTTCATTTGTATTTTCATCTCATGACTGAAGAAATAAAGATTTGATGGATTTGAAATAATATTGACATTCCAAGTCTCGGCAAAATTATGTTTGATGAAGTTCATTGTACTTACGAATACTGTATAAAAAATAAGTTGTTCATGAAGTTCTAAAAAACGTAACTTAGCAAGAAATACAAAATGTACCATTTTCATGTTTTATTTTTGTTCCTTAAATTTCTTCAAACATTAGCATAATATGACCTGTTCGTTTGCAAATAGCAGTTAAAGGTGTTGCAGTAGAAAAAAATAGAAATAGCCATTTACTCAACCTTCATTTAGCCTGAAATATTTCTTGCCTACATTTAATTAATACATTAAATAAAAAAATATCGTACATTTTAAATCATGAAGATTTGAATAATGTAATATTAATGTAAAATTCTAAATTGCTTGTGTATTTCACGTTTTTATTATTTTTTATTCTGATGAGCTTAATGTATTGTACGTAAATGTAATTTTCGTATTGGTAAATTGTACATAAAGGAGGAAACATCTTATTTAAATATGTGTATGCAATGAAATCTCGATATCGGTATTAAAAAATGTCATTTAGTAGTAACGGTATTTTAAACTTTAATTTAAAAATACGTACTGAATAAAATTATCGGAAAAACGCATCAAATTTTTCAATAAAATAATTTACCAAATTTTTTATGCTTGAAATTCCATGAAATTTAATTAACATGCAATATTTATGGATATGTTAAACTTCTTCTTTATGCACTGTTTTAACATAATAAATTAATTTTATAACCATAATCGTTTAAAAATTTTGTGAATATAAACGATTAGGAATTTTTTCGCTTCGTAGAAATAGTGAGACAAGCCATATAGATTACCTCGCGTAATTTCAAATGAGGTTATAATTGTTGTTGTTCCAAATATAAGTCATTATTTTAAAATATTACAGGTTAGGCTTATTAGAGGCTGAGGTGAACATCCTGGTCGCTACTTCTGGAAGTCAGATTGTCTGGTTACAATGTTTTGTAATTTAGAGCCTAGTCCATTACTTTTAAATGCACATAAATTTCGTTCTGTAAAATCTAAAATTTATAAGACGAATTTATCCAGTTGGGTATCAATCGTTGTACGTTTTGAAACATGAGACTTAGGCACCGGAATACTAAATATTTTAGAAATAGTTAAAAGCCATCCTTTAGTAAAGCAGATTATACTGCTAGGCATTGCAGAAACCTGAGATTAAATTTTTTACGTACTTGGTAATTCTGTCGATGTGTGCTAGCTTTGTATTACAAATTAAAAGAAAATCATATATATACTACAGGATTTCTTCTTAAGTCCCCTTGCTCCCTTTTAGCTTTCAACTAAATATAAAGCGGCAAATGCAAAGTTTATGTATAGGGAAGCACTTATTCAGTAATACATTGAAATTGCTTCCAGGGCCTGTTGTGCCGAATTGTAGGTCAGAGTACCAATGTTGAAAATGAAACAAGGTAGGCAAAACGTTTCAGCTACGAAATCTTCAGTATAGTATTTAGTAGAAAGAAGTGTACATATGATGCTGACAGATAGTGAAATAAATTAATTATACAAATATCCCGTTTAGTACAAAAGCATTTGATGAAACTTATGGGAAATAGACACAGCAAGATAGTGAACCGTTTAATAAATTAATTTAATTCCTTTAGAGTTAATTATTTGTAATCAACAATGTTGCATAGAATTTTAAAGCACTCCCACGCACTTTTTTAATTATGTGTAGAGTAAAATACACAAAACGCGATGCTATTCCAGTTTCATTCTTCTGTTATTACCAGTAAAAATGACGGTAAAAGACACAGATTATGAGGGTTCTGACGTGATATTTCTTGTACATGATGATTATACAATATATATATATAAATCACAGTCCAACATAAAAGTTATCAGCCAACCATGCTTGTTATCGAAGTTTTTTTTTTTTTTTTTTTTGTCGTCATTTTGTTTAAAATTACTATTTTATTTATTATTATTTTAATGTTAAAAGAAATCTTTCATCGACTTTGTATTTTTGCCATGTATGGCGAAATCTCTTGTATTATATACGGAGATAAAATACCAGAGGGAGTATTATTGTATTAGCCAGCAATCTGATCAAACATTCACACTTTTAAAAAAAAATAACTTAAATTATTTTCTTTGGAACAAGAGCATAAAATATTCTGGAAATGCTAAATTTCCGTACACAAATGAAAAATTGGTTACCGAGTAAATTTTGACTTGGGAATTTAAGTGTCGAAATGTCGAGTTTTCATTGCTAACTAATTTAAATAATCATTCATCAAATATTACATATTTTATAAATAAACGTTTGTTTCCGGTATCTACTTAAAAATTAAAATTGTGCATTTGCCTAAGGAATACTGAATTATCATTGTTTAATTTTTAGGACGTAGTAAATATTACCACTTTTTTTACATCTGTAACTTCCACCTGTAAAAGCCATTTGTGTCCAAAGTGCCATATTCTTTATATTGTGACGACATATCATGGCCGATTATAGAGACCTTCTCGTGCTCCTTTTCTGTTTTTCTCCCTTGACTTTTTTGAACATGCGCACATCTTTCATTATTGTTCTTCCGAATACGCACGGGCCTTTCCTGCCGATCCTTCAAAATCTTTATTTTATCCTTATCGGCAATGGAAGAGGCCTTTTTTTATACAAATGGCTCAATAAATATTTATTTGGAAATTTGTAGGCCTCATTTCTTTTCATGTATTTATGTGTGTTCGTTTACGTTGTTACATTAGTATGCCTTTTTGCAGTTCATGTTATGTTTAGCCTAAAAGAAAACAGACAAATCAAATATTTATTAATCGAAAAGTATGTGTGTGTATAGAAGAATTTAGTTCAATTTTATGAAGGAAATCTTCGAATTTACGACTTCTTTGTTTGCTTTGTTTTCCAAAGGTCAGTATCGATCGAGCATTCTTGTCGTCGGTCGTGCATTATTAGCGCTTCAGGTGAAAAAGCTTATTGCAAGAAATTTTAAGAAACAGTTTGTTAATGCAAAGAGAAAATCGTGGGAGATCACCTGTATCAGAGTGAACTGAAACACATTCGTGAAACTTGCACACGTTTGCTTGAAGAAGTCGACAACACGTGCAAGTAAAGAACTTGAAGTTCCACAAAAGTCGGTGTGAAATATCCTGATAGCCCAGAACATAGTTTTGCCATGTTCGCCACCAAGAAATCAGATTCTCAGCGCCATGTATTTACTTTTTGGGGGCCTACATCAATAATTGAGTTTTAATTCTCTTTTAGAATTTCGGGCTATCTTAATACGGCACAACAGCTGCTGTGACTGTTAACTTGGACATTCTGAAACTTAATTAGGAAGAACTTCACTTTCGTATTGGTATCTGTCTTGCAACAAAAGGCTCACACATATAGCATTTGTAACTTATCCATGTAAACTTCAGGACATATTTTTCGAACGCTATGAGTATTTTAGTCATGCTATTAAAAATCTTGTTTCTGTAAAACTGTGGAAGTGTCGATTTCTTTTAGGGTAATCTCGCATAAGTATTATCCTATCAGTATTTTAGCATAGATTATATGACAGTTGATATAGAATCCTTTTTATTCAAGTTTACGACATCAAGATAGATTCAAGTAGATTCAAGTTTACGACATCCTCCTTTTATTTAATTTCGGGCCGTCAGTGTGATGGTGTGGCACCCTTAAGTGGTGATGTGTAATTAATACCAAATGAAACACGATCTGAGCGTCAAAAAGAGAGTCACATGTGCCTAATAATTGCTGGCCTACACTGAACTACAGTATATTGCGTTAATAACCCTAGAGAGAGAAATACATAACACATCTTACCCTCTACTTTGGTGAAGAGCTGTTCAATAAATACACTCGTAATGATATCATTTAATTTTATTAATCATTCATAATGAATAAAATCTTGATCTAGATTAATTATACTATAGAAGAATATTACGTCTATACACGCCTCCATTTACTTTTGGATATAATCTGTCCACATCGCAGGCTATCGGTCTTTGCCTTTCTCTCTTGCGCTGGTGCAGTCAAGCTGTGATGAATCACTTACTTTCCACAAAAGAGATTTGTGGAATGAAATTCACTTCATTTTTTAAACTCGAACATTAGGCCTTTTTTCATCTACTTCACACCTTTCACAAAATGAGCGTCACATGCCTCACTTACGACGGAGAAATGCACAAATGTTGCAGAAATAAAAACCATGATGAAATACCCAGTTGTTGTAAAAGATTACCACTTCGAAAACTTTTAAGAACATGCAGACTTGATCCCTTTTTCGTTTTCTCAGCTCCCCGTACCTTCTCGATAGGAGATAACTGTTATTGGCATTCAGTCAAGCAATATAGTGTATAATCCGAACCAAATTTCTTGTACACCTTCGTTTCGGAAGAAGGTATGGTGTACAATCATCTGAAAGGCAGTCTATGATTCGTGAGGAAGAAATTTGATGAAACTGATTATCTATGCCAGACGTCCTGGATGACTATATGTATCGAGGGAAATGAATCGTGTTTATAAGACTTACTCATTCAGCCCGGAAACTTCGACTACACTATTTTCAAGTAAGGGACTTGAAATTCTACAAAAGACTGAATGAAATATCGTGCATTCTGTAGTCTAGATCATGGCTCTGGCATATTGGTCATTAAGAAGTTCGGATTTAACTTACTACTTCTAAGGACACATCAAGGACCAAGTTTTTTCGTTCCTCCCCTTCCTGCAAGTTTGGACTGTCTAAACAACGCAGCAACTGCTACATATATCCACACTTCTATTCTTTCCGCTGGACTCAGCGTTTGGTATGTCAACGACTTGATGCCATTTTAGTGGCACTTAATTGACGACAGCCGGAAAACAACATGCAAATCACACGTTATTCGCAACGAGCAGAGGAAGTTGTAGTTAGAAAATTGCTATGACTTCTGACATTGGGTATGCTGTTTGGGAAGAATTTGACTATCGCATTGATATCTATCTGTCATGTTACAAAAGGAAGCATTTGTTACGTAGCTATGTAAACTTCAAGACATACACACTTTTACTTTTACAAATATTTCAGACATTGGGGGGAAATATATTTCAATGCCCCCCTTGGCGATTTTTGGTTCCATTCCTGTTTACGTGCAAAACCCTCCCAAGTAAAATGGCATCCAAAACATAGTGCAATAGAGCATGATTAAAACATAAAAAAATTATAATTTCAATAAACTGCATTTTAAATCAAAATAAAACAAGGAAATAGCATGAAAATGGTTTTGGTTTAATTATGGTAAAGCACACTAGGGCTATTTGCCTAAGGGGAGGGATGCCTTCGTGGAGGACTTTCTAAGGGAAACTGGTTCGTATACACGTTGCACATGGAGAAAATCACGAGTATGGAGCTTATGTAAACCTTACATATTTTCTTAGATTTGCTTAATATTCATTAGAACTTCAAAGAAGCTGAAGGAAATTTGAAATAGTTTACATACAGATGAAATAACAATTTTTTGATAGATTTTAGATGGCATTTGCGTTTCTTCAATTATATAAATATATAGCTATCTGTGTATAAATATATAGCTTTCTATAAATGGACCTGAATTTAGCCATAATTTACCTTTTAAATGATGTATAATACGTATATGTCTGCATCTAGGTTTTAAGTGAAATTGATTATTTAAAGTGTAATTTTAAGTGAAATAATATTAAAAGTTTGACCTTTCAGATTACTATTGTCGGGGACTTGACCCCTACTGTATATTGTTAACTGTTTTGGTAAGCGAAAACAATTTGAAAAGGATTATTATTTTTAGAGAAATAAGGATAGAAAGTAGAATAACATCTAGCGTTTGTTTCATGGTATGATTAAAGAAAAGTTTGATTTTAATTATAAATAAGCCCAGAGGATTAATGTGGTTTTACTTGACGTTCTGATTATCTACTATGAGTTATAAGACAATAAGAAGGTGCTGATCTTTGCATCCAAATAAGTTCGTCATATTTAAAGCTTTCGAAGCCTTTCTTCGAAACCTGGGCAGGCAGACATAAAAAATTGTAGACATAATGATCTTTCGTTTTTAAGTACTATGTGTTGTACATATGGGATATGTATATATCATATTATTTTTGCTTTCAGTGTTATTTACTCGTGGTATGGTGGGATAAATTTATTGGATGCCTAGAAGCGCTAAAAAATATTTTTTTTTTTTTTTTTTTTTTTTTTTTTTTGAGATAAGGGTAATAAATTTTTGTCATTTTTAGTTTACGAAAGATAAGATTGCCTTATTTTTAGATTACGATAGCTAAGATTGCCTTATTTTTAGTTTACGAAAGATAAGATTGCTTTATTTGCCTTTATAAGATTGCTTTATTTTGATGAAGCCAGGAAACTGTAATAATTTTAAAATTCAAGTTTTCGAAGATTATGGAGCTATATAAATAAAATAGTCTAGCAAGTGCATGAAAAATTTCTTACATATACCAATGAATGAATTCCAACATCGCTCTTCTCAAACTATATATTCTCTTTATTGTCCATAAGCTTCTCTCATCTGTTAAGTAGTTTTCCCATCCCTCTTTGGTAAAATTACTTTTTTTTTTATGTGTGAAAGATCATTTTGTAGGCCATAGGAAATATTCTGTATGTTATCATATTCCGTACTTTAAGAAATTTTTGATGACCTAAAGAGGTGACATTCTATTCCACAGATATCCAGTGAACACCAAGAATGCGGTGGCTCCATCCAAACTTTTCGTAATTTACTTTACTTACGAACGAGTACATGGAGACATACTATGTTGTGATGGAATACCATTCTCTAAGCATTCACCAATGATGGGCGCTTCTCTGCCAGGGCACTGCGTAGACGTTTCAGGTACGGGCATTACAATTAAAAATATTTGTTTCGGTGGTAGAAGTTGTCGGTAGATTTCTACTGTGATATCCCGCGAAGCACTTGACAGAAACTTACAGTAGATATAATGCTTATTTTGCGGTGGATTCTGGAAATTTGTCTGGCCTTTAAATTTCTGCACGAACTCTGCCACAATAGCCTGGCTACTAGACTCCTAGCAGGTTACTTCTTGATGTCTTGAACATTTTGGCCTTCGAACTGCCTGAAGCATCGAAATTCGATTTTTAATGTGCGATATGATCATTGCTGTGTATACCATATATACCCGACTTATATCTGACGCATTATGCTATTAATCGTTTTCATACAAAAAGGAAGTGTCTCGTTTATCATTAAGAAGTAACGTGCAACGGCCAACCAAGGTTTTGTTATTGAACAATCACGTATTGCCCTACCATGAGCTGATGAACACATGCAAATATTTCGAAGTTCAAACGTTTTCCCACTGTAAAAATGCATTTTTGTTTTGGTATACAACCCAATATTAGATTTATTTTAGATTGTATGTTATTATTTGACCCCCTTTGAAAACAGGAAGTGATACTAAATAACTTTTAAAACACTAGTTGTTACGCTATTTATTTTTCGAACTGGTATATTTAAATGTTAGATATATCCAATAATTGAATCGATTTTAAATATTTCGTCTTCAAAATATTTTCATATACATAAACCAATTCTTCAGTTTTTCTTCTGAAGTTTTCATATTTTTAAACTTATTTTTAAAATGCTTATTCAACTGAATGTTTTACACCTTAACCTACTTGTGCTTGATTCCAG